GATTGTAAAAGCACATAGATTTTACCATTGGTGGCTTTACACAGAAGGAAAGGTGTTTGGCTGTGGTACAACATCCGAGAAGATTCTTAGAATCACTATCTGGAAGCCTGACACTTGCTTCCACGAGCTTGGGCATTGGCACTAGTGAACAGACGGAATTAAACCTGTTTGCAATCGTTAAGGCCTTTAAAGAAGGAGCTTTGATCATAAATTCAACATCATTCCTTGGAACTTGAGAACCATATGAGTCCAAAACTGCTAATCTCTGCAATGGAGGAACCGCAATTGTGAAAGTTTTCACGTTGTCAGATTCGTATCGAATCACTTTTAGGTCTTGAAGGACAGGGCAACCAGCTAAAAGCCTCTGAATGATTTCACCACTTGGGAATATTTTTTTTTTGCTAAAAGACCACTTGGGAATCTATGTGCCAGGACCAAAACCTTAAGTGAGCGTAAACAAAATGTCAAAGGGACATCCACAAGGACCGCCTGTTCTAGGTTTAAAGTCTCAAGGGTTTCACACAAACAAGCTCCTAGGCAACTGTATGGGTATAAAATCCTGGAACAATCGAAGAGTGCGCACACCACGAGAAACTGCAATACTAATCCATGTTTCAATACGAGTAGGAGGACAGTATCGACTAAGTGTGAGAACTAGAGTTTCTAGGACAGGAGCCTTGTGTAGTAGCAAAAACAACGTAACAAAACGGGAATCTCTCCATTGCTCAGAGTCGCTAGATGGATCACAATAGTTGAGCGTTGGCATATGTTTCCAAAGAGAACCCCAACGTTTTGACAAAAGACTCGTGGTCACTGCAACTCTCGATGGAACGAAAGACAGTATCTTGAAGATCAAATAATCTGACAACAGACTTATTCTATCCATTGCTAACCCTTTCAAAATCTTAAGGTTAACCCTTTCTCTCAATCTCGTAAAACCTAACAAATAACAACGAAAGAGAAAGGCTTAACTTTTGCTTCGCCGTCCCAAATAGAAACCCTAAAAATCGTAAATACCGTAGGAAGGAAGTTACAAAGGATACGATGAAATAAAAAAGGTTTGTTTCCAATTTTCCATAAACCCAACTTATATTAACTCAAAATTTGGTTTCCTTTTCCTTTACTCTGTAAATTTCAGAATCTGAGGCCTACAAGACCAGAGAAGAGTTAGATCGTCCTTGGGTCTGCATTGAACAACCTTAATATTGGCGAGCAACTGCAGCACTGACCCATGTTTCCATATCAACAAGAGAGCAGTTTCCAGGGCAGGAGCCTTATGTAGTACCAAAAACTTGCTAGCAATACATGAAGCTCTCCAAGTCCTCAGTGTCATAGTAGGGTTCATAAACCTTAAGCTTTGGCACACGTTTCCGAAGATAACACCATTGCGTTGACAAAAGGCTAGTGGTCACAGCCAGTTTTCTTGGATGACAAATATCTTCAAGATCAAATCATCTAACAACATATTGGTCCTACCCATAGAAACCAAAACCTTCAAATTCTCAGGCTTTCAGTCTGTCTCTGTCGATATTGTCGCCGATTGCTGGAAAACAGCAAGAAAATGGTCGAAGCATCATGCTTTTCTCAAGCCCACTACAGTTTCTTTAACAGAGGAACCAGATAAAACCCTAGCAATGATGAGACGCACTACTTTCAAATCGAACCATAGAAATATACAAAGTAAGTCGAGGGGAAAAGAGAAAGGCTTTCGCATTGTTTCGTCACCAATTCTTTGTCAAAGAGAAACCCTATATCCTAACTAGAATATCTGGTAATGGTTATACTGCAAATTTTTAGTGTTAAAAGAGCAGTACGAAGCGAGAAGTTTTGAAGTGATTTGTATAATCATTTGAAATTCATAGAGTAGGGAAAAAGTCTAACCTTTGTGGTATATTCACATTGGTGATTGGCTAAGTAGTTAATATTGGTCACCGATACATCATTGGCGGATGAATCCTAGATCATGAAGATGGACTTATTTAGAGCAGCACTTCTTGAAACCATGTCCTTTGCACATACACAAACCTATCATAAATCATCCAACTTC